CCGGCAAGCCCACGCTGTGCGCAAAGTTTGGGGAGCCCCGGGCAGGGGGCGCCCCGGCTCCTTGCGCTGCAGCACGACCCCGCTCCTCCGCTCTTGCAAGGGTTAAGGCGAGGGGGGAACGGGGAAGAAGCCCGCAGCGCACTCTGGGGCGCTCTCAGCTCCCACCCAACGCAGCGTCCCCCCCCACACACACACACTGCCCCCCACCAATGAGCCAGGCAAGTTTGCCTTTCGCTGCGGGCGCCGCTGGAGCCCACTGGGAACGACTGAGTCTTCTTAAAGGGACCGGCGGCTCCGGGCGACGGTCCTAAGGCTCTCTCGGGCCGGCAAAAAGTGTTGTCACAAGCACAGCTGTGTACAGTCTGTCTCAGTGTGGTTCCCCAGAAAACAAGCCAATATGTCTCCCTGGCTCTCTCTGGAGCTCTGGTTTACATGGTGACAACATGCTGGGATCAGACCCGGAGCTGTGCACATGACGGTGCATTCCGAAGAGGCCGAAGGAGCGAAGCCAGATGCCTACAGACTCTGCTGCACATGCACCAGGGGCGTGGGGCCGAGGGGCGTGTGAGACACTGGGCTCCGAATACGCCTCATACATTTTAACCTCCCTACATGCGGGGGGCAGGGGGGGGCGCGGTTCAACGTGAGAGAGTCACTGTAAACATCAGATTCTTTCCAGAGGTCCCCGGGATGTTCGGCTGGGAACGCGGGTGAAGTTAGGTCTGCTTTCCTCATGGTCCACAGCACAAATGCCATTGCGTGCCCGGAAGCTAGCGAGACTCTGCCTTAGAAACAGTCAACGCTGCAAAAGGTCAGCATTCAACCAGCGTTTGGTTACTATGTATTCTGGCACGTACACGAGAGCTCGCTGAGCTGATCACGGACAGTCCACAGAATGCCTTTACTGTCTTTTTCCTACAGCATGATGGGATGGATACCCAGAAGCCGGCGTTTGGATGTGAGGCTGTCTGGGTTATTTCTGCGGTCCCTGAGATGTGTCCATAACCAGCTGTCATGTTTGAATGTAATTTAACTGGACAAAAATATAATGGGAGGCAATCACCGACACATACATTCTCCCAGTGCGATCTCTGGCTGTCGGAGAGATTCTGTACAGATGACTGAGTAGCAGCAACATATTGTAGCGTTCTCAATACAGCCCACAGCTTCTCGGCGACTTTGCTACTTTCTCTTTGGTGTGAAGGTCACATGAAGACCTGGCTCTTGGTGTCAGAAACGTATGCATGCGCCTGCGTAGGTTTGAATAGATGGTCACGGTGTGATTGCATCGGGATGTTTACCTGTGCTGTGTTCGATCTGGTTATGAGTTCTGAATTTGCTGGGGAAGTAAAACAGGCATGTAAGCTCGCGTCTGCGGCTGCGTGCAGCTCGTGGGCCATGCGTACGTGTTTGCTGCAAGCACATAGCTGTGTGCCTGTGTGGGCGTGCATGCCTGGGTCTAGGTATACTGTGGGTTTGTGCACCCCTGCATTTAATTGAATATGCATGTGTGGTGATTCACACCGATTTGTGGGCAGCAAGTAGAAATACTGAAAATTTGCCATCTAACCAAAGCGGAATAAACTTAGGGGCAGGACGACAGCAAGGCATATCCCATAAGAACGCTGGGAGAGAATGTGGGACCACGTACAGGGGCTTCTGTAAATTTCTTAGTGCTTTCTCTTTGTCCTAAAAAGAAAATTGCTTCTCAATAAAATGTCCTGTCTTGATTTTTTAAAAAAGAAAAGAAAAGAAAAAGCGACATATAATATGGAGGCAAAGTCAGTCTTTCCTGGGAGGGGTTACTAAATATATAAAATTTCCCACCTCCCCTCAGAAACATAAATAATATGAAATAATTAATAATGACCAAAACAGCCACTTCAGGAATGGTTCATTTCTTTCCTTACTCTGGTAGGGATGAGAAAGTTATTTTCTCAAAGCAGGACCATGCAGCTGAAGTTCATGGGCTTCGGGCTTGAGGAGCATGTGCTCGTCACTGCATTCACCGTAAAACGAGGCCAGCTCATTCCACCTCCTCAGCTCTGTCACATAAGCCCAGATCCTTGTCCATCTGGCGGTGCCAGGAGGGCCCGCAGAAGGACCCAGTATCCAGGCAGGACCGTGTAGGGCGGGCGGAGGGTCAAGAACGCGGGCAGATGAAGGCGACAGCCACGGGTCGGGAGGTGAACCGTCTTTCCCAAGCAGAGATGGGGAGGGGCCGTGTGTGCAACGAGGTTTCGTACCCGCCTTTGCCACGCCTGCCCCGGGCCAAGGCTGGTCACGATGTGTGGGAAGTCCTGAGCCTGCCTTCGGAGTAAGTCAGAGCACCTGACTGGAGTCGGGCTGCAGAGGCGGGGAGGCAGCCACCAGCTTCCGACGTGCCCCCCCCCCTACTTACGAGGGGGTGACCTCATCGCTTCATTCAGCGGATGTGTCGGTGTGTGTACATGGGCGTCCAGAACCGGCTTCATGCCTACCCGTCATGACTCACTTTCACCACCAGAGGGCTCCTTCCGCAGCCCAATCAGGGACCTGAGAGATGCAAAGCAGCATGTCTCCTTAGGGTGACAGAGCCAGGCTCCCCCTCCGTGCTTGCCGACAAGCTTCTCCGATGCTGCTTATGTGGCAGGGGATGGGGAGGCATCTAGGCAGCTTGGAGCCGGCATCTGATCCTCAGGAAGGCTCGCTCCCCCCACCCCTTCCCTGGACGCTTAGCTAGCACAGGGGGGCTGACATGGCACCTCTGGGCCTCGTGCTGCTCACCCCCTCATCCCAGCGGGGCTGGTGCCCCCGGAAGTGGCTAGGGGAGGAGTCCCCACGGCTGCCTCAATCCAGGACGTGCTTCTTGAGTGCCTACTATGTACGAGGCGCTCTGCTTGGCACTTTGGAGGTGTGTCCCCTGCCCTCCCAGGAGCCTGTGATACAGTAGGGGACACTTTGCTGGTCCATTTTGTCTGTAAATAGCAGAAACTCGCGATTGGGGATTTGGTGTAAGGATGCGGCGGTGCCGTACGAGGCCTCAGGGCAAAGCTGCAGTCAGAGCTCAGCACGGAGCTGGGACCGGGGACGGATGCCAGCGGGAGCCTGGACGGCACGTCCTCCCTCGCCTCCGCCCGCCTCCACGCCGGTAGCTGAGAGACGCTGCTTTGCCCTCCCCGCTCTCCAGTACTCCAGGTGAAAGCTGGGTTGCCAGTTTTCCACGGTGTTCGAGGGACCTTCCCGGACTAAACTGGGCAGTTTCCGTCCCCATTCAGTGTCCGGGGTGGACAAACTGGCCGGGCTCAGTCGTGTCCCTGCGGCTCCCTGGTGCTGCCGGCTGTGGTCCCAGCGTCAGGGTCGCCTGCCGGTGGGGGAGGGGCGGGCGGTTCTCAGACCGGCCGTCGTGTCGTTGCCACCGAAGACCGCTGAGACGTCCATGTGACTCCCACAGGGAGTCCCTCCCATGGTGCCCGTGTCCCCACAGTGAAATGCAGCCACGCACAAGAGGGTGACATGGCAGGATCGAGCAGCCCTGAGGCTTTCGTAGGCTTCTGCTGGACGCGGGACTGGGCCGGGCGTCGGTGGCCCACGCCAGCCTCACCTTCGTCTCCGCCCTGCTTCCGAGGGACGCGGGTTAAAAGAGGTACACGCGGTCACGTGGGCGAGAGTTCCGAAGTTGCTGGAAACCACCCAAGTCCTTGCCAGCTGTGCTTCAGCTGCTAGAACAGCCGGAGGGAGGGAGGGGGGGTGCGGGAGGGTGAAGCCCCCGATTGCACGGAGGCAGCAGACACGACATACCACCCGCGGTCCGGGGAAGAGCTGGAGGTCGGAGCGTGCTCTTGACCGGCACCAACATAATCAATAGAAGAACTAAGAGTTATCGACAACTCCATTTGGGGGGACGTGAGCTAAACTAAGACAGAAACGGGAACCTGTGGGCGCCCCTTTGGGGAGGAAAACTAGAGTGGGACCAGGACAGCGGCTTCTCCTCATAACCCCTTGAAGCCTATTTTATTTTATTATTATTTTTTTTAAATCCTATGCTTTGGTAACTTAGAAATCGATGAAAGAATCGACGGGAATGGCGAGCGGTGAGCCGCCTGTCCACCCTCCCGGCCACCGTCCGCTTCGGCCGCGCAGAAACGCCAGGTGTTTCCCGTGACTCACCCATCTGCCCTCGTGCTGGGAATGCTCTCCCCTGAGAGAGCCTCCTCGCTTAAAAATATCACGTCTACTTTGAAATAATTTTGGATTTACATAAAAGAGGCTGCCACCAGATGCTTCATGGTTCAGTCTCTCACTGGATGCATCGCTCAGCTCAAATGTCACCTTCGCGGAGGGTGGGTCTCTAACTGCTGTATCTAAAATAACGCCCCGTACCCCCCGTGTCCTCTTACGCTGCTTCGTGTCTCTTCGGGGTACGTATTACGACCTGACGTTACCCCGGGCACACACGGACAGAGGTGCGCGTGCGTGCGAGCGAGCGTGCGTGCGTGTTTACGGTCACCCCCTCCTCTGCCAGAGCGAGAATTCTGTGAGGACACCTGCTCTGTCTCATCCACATCTGACTTACAAGACCCTGGAACGGTGCCCAGGGGCTAGAAGGCACCAGTCAGCATTCGCGTAATCAAATCGCTTAACTGCGTAAACAATTATTAAGCTCCGCACACTGCGACAGGCACCGGCGAGTCAATAATAAACAAGAAAGACACAGCTCTGGACCGTGCGGAGTCTCGGTCTAGTGAAAGGCACGGAGAGGACCGAATGGATAAGACGCCCGTGGGCGCCCCGGG